AAATTTCAAAATAGGAAACAATTGTTGCAGTACTTTTTTTTTTTTTTAACTTTCTAAACCTGAATTGGTTGATAAAAATGTTGCCATATGGAAAAGATCTTCGAATACAAGCAAAGAAGTCGATTTTAGCTCTTTTTTTTTCCTCAATATTTGTTTTAATAACTTGATTACCACCTCCTACGTGTAGAACATTTTATACATAATAACGATAACCTAAATCATTTCTACCTTCCTTTTTTAGTCCAATTTTGTTTTTGCAGGCAAAATAATTTTGTCCAAATCAAATGCCACGTCAACATGCTTAACTTTTGGCAATTCAACCTACGACATTATTATCTGCATAAAAGGTAGAGTTAGATTAAGCATGTAACACATATTCATAACTTTATGTTTTTTTTTTGTCTAATTACTTTTTACTCTTTTTCACTTTTTCATACATCTTACTGATTTATGTGTAATAATACATCCAAAAATATCATCTTCGACATCACTGACTTTTTTCATGACAAGTCATGCTCATTATCATTCTTAATCTCCAACGACCTCTTTAACACCAAATCAAAAGTTCCATCAACGATGAACAAGGCTTCATGACAAAATAATGAAATAAAAAAGTTTAAGAGTTTATAAATTTAGTAAATTATACATTTATTTATTGTTGTAATATTATCTTTTGTATTTAGTTTTTATAATTATTATATCAAAATTTATGAGAAATTACAAATCTAAACGATTTTACCCCTAAAAAAGAGAATATAGTTTAGGTAACATCTGGCGATCTAGGTTAGGGGGTTAGACAGAAGAAAAGGAAGCTTGTCTTCAACATTAACACTATTGTATAGTTTGTTAGAAAAACTATTTGTTGTTCAATTTATTTTGTTCCATCCTTCAAAGGGGAGATTATTTATTTTATTTTGACTGTTTAACTACTTGTCATAATGATTTTGAAACCGTTAGATGAATTTAAAAACAAATAAAGGCACCGAATCTTTTTAACTAGGTCCAATTAGCCAACTATTTAAACTTATCTTTTTAATAAAATTTTAAAATTAATTAAAATTTATTAAAAAGATAATTTGTGTTTGTGAAAACAATTTGGGTTTGAAAATTAATTATACGTGGAAAAGAATTAGCACCCCCACAATACCCGTTAAAAAACGATATCAATTAATTATATGTTATCCTTTAATTTTGATAAAAAAATTTTAATTTTTGTATTTAAAAATATTTTTCTTGACTATTTTTATTAATTTATTTTCATTTCCACTTTTGTTATTTCACCATTTTTTCCTTTTTTACAAAATTTTTTTATTATTATTTAATTTTTTAAAAATTAATCCATTTTATTTGAAAAAATAAATTAGAATCTTAATATAAAAAATTCTCTTTAAATGTTTCAGTATGTTTGTAACATAAAAAGAATTTTTTTTCTCACCTAATGATTTCTTAGAAATTAATACTCGGATTTCCTTAAAATTCCGTCTTCAGAAACTAATATTTATTTTTCAAAAATTAAAAGGTATGCATGCGATGTATATGATTAAAATATTGTGAGCATATTTTATTTATTCTTTTTTTAAAATTGTTTATTAATTTTTTATTAAGTTTTTTAGAATTTTTTTTATAAAAGGAAACTTTTTATTTTATTAAAATTTTTTATAACTACTCGAATATGCTATTAGTATTTTTTAAAAAAATTCTCATTTAGAGTTTTTTTTTTCAATTATCACTACTTAGATTACCTTAAAATCTCATCATCGAATAACAATTTCCTTTCCTACTTTATTTTTTAAAAAATATTGACTATCGTAATTTTTTTTTCATTTTTATCACTTTTATATTTATCTTTTTATTATTTTATTTAATATATTTTTTAATTTATTTTATGAAAACATTTATATTGAATTTTTTTTCTAAATACTTTATTACTTTAGTAGTATTTTAAAAAAATATCATCACCTAGAAATGTTAAAGATTAGCTACTCAGATATCCTTAATATTTCATCATCGGAGATTTTCCTTCTTATTATCATTTTAATAGTTTAATATTTTTTATTAATTTACTAATTTTTTAAACATCAACTTTTTTATTTTTAAAAATATATATTTATTCTAGGTATGTAAAACATAAATATGCATTAACAAATAATTTTAAAAATTTTAAAAAATAAAATAAAAAATAAAAGTTACATAAAAACGATGTTAGCGGTTCGGGGCTATCAACTTAGTTCAAGCAATTCAGGCTAGTTCAAACTTGGTTTGGACCAATTCAGTTACTATGATAAGGATGCCAGTTCAGCGGTTTGACAAGTTTACTATTAATTCAATTCAGCTAGTTCAAGGCTTATCTTCAAGAAATAAAGATGAATCCGAGTCAGGTCCACATGTGGGTTGCCTAAGTTTTTTTTTTTTAATTTTTTTATTTCAAACCTAACTTACCCTTAAAAAAAAAAACCTAAATGCTTTCAAACAAAACCAACTACTGACCACTCCCAATTTTCAAAATTCGATACCGACTCATTGTGCCTTACTGCTAACCGTCGTTTGCCAACACAAGATTGCCTCTAAATTTCACCCAAATTTTTTGACTTTCTCTTTCAATCTATCAATTTAGTTTCTCTAAAAATCTCTCAAACGTTCTAGATCTAGGCCTAAAATTTCAACCAAAAACCCAAAATGACCTTTTTCTACCATTTTGATGGTTGTCATTTGCAGCTATGTTCCTCTCTTAATCCTAACTATCCTCCTCACCCAAAAACCTAAGTCTAAAACCCTTAAAACCGAAACCTTCTTCTTTTTTTTTTATTTTAATTTTTTTTTTGGTTATGGTTTTAGCGCTGTTGAAGTTCCTCAGAAGAGGACTGTGATGATTTTTTTATGTTTTTTTCTTTGTTTTCTAGTGAGTGTTTTGCCTTTTTGGGTTGCTTGACCAAATGCTTAGGTAAATGTGTTTTTTGGTCGCCCGTGAGTCATAAAAAGAGTGTTTTTGGCTTTCAGAGATTGAGTTAAGGACTAGGAAACTAGTAAGGGTCAATGGCAAGAGGTTGAGATTTTTTTTTAATGGGTTTTCAAAGCTTTGAAGGTGATGAAATCTGGGTTTCAATTTGAAATAGGATTAGGTTTCTTGGGTAGGATGGTTTATGCTTTCTAGAATGGTCGAATGAGGTTTTTTGCTGATTTATAAGGTGCAGTGGTGGTTTTCTTTTTTTTTTAGTAGAATGTTTATTGGGATTTCTTTTTTGGCATAGTGTTCTTGATTCAAATTAGCCTTCTTTCATGTTAAAAATTTCTTGATCTTAAAGAAGCTTTGGGGAACACAAGAAAAACTGACAAAACATGTCAAAGTTTTATGGATAAGATGAAGCATTGTTGACAACTGAAATTCAACTATTATGGTGGCTATTTGAGGTGGTAAGGTGGCTTAGTAGGGGCTGTTTGAGATGGTAGGGTGGTGCTAGGTGGAGCTGATGACTTGTGAGTGCAAAGCAGAGTTGTAGGGTAGTTTGGCCTAGATGGCGCTATGCACAACATCTGCATCATTTATGTTTGTTTTTTTTCTTTTTTTATTTTATATTTTTTCAAATTAATCAATATTAAATCAACCTAATAAAAAATTAAAAATAAACTCAAAATCGAATTAATTTGGAATATGAAATTATTAATCCAAACAAAAATTGATGTCTACACTACTAATAAATATCATTTAGTACTAATTTTTTAAAAATATTTATTAAAGTCTTCTGTTTTTTCATTTTATTTTTTTCCTTTAAAAATTTACCTCCACACCACTTATATCAATTACAAATCTATAAAATTAATGTTATTGCTCCACGTACAAGTAAAATTGCCAAATGTGCTATTATTTAATTAATGCAAAAACTAAAACTATTAAAAATTCTGTTATCCTGACGATATTTTTCACATAAGGAATTTTTTATTTGTTTTTTTTTCTAAATCTAAAATATTTTCAAATTTTACATTTGATCTTACATTATATTAAAATAGAAAAAATCCTCACTACTTAAAAATTAGTGAAAGCTTTCACTATTTTATTTAAATGCAATAAATACACTTGTAATTAAATTTAAGATTGAAATTTAATAATTTTAAATTAAATATAAAAATAAATAAAAATTAATTTAAAATAAAAATAGTTTAAATTAATATTAACCATATATTTAATTGGAAGTGCATTTATCACACTTAGATAAAATAATGAAAACTTTTATTGATTTTTAAGTAATGAAAATTTTTTTATATGTACCCAAAAAATGTATAAAATTTAAGATTATTCTTTATTGAAATAAAATTAAGAAATCCAACATTAAGTTAAATTCTAAAAATATTTATTAATAGAAAATAAAAGTATAAAAATGAAAAGTTGCAAATTTTATGGAAAGAAAAAAAAAACTCAAATAATGTAAGGGCAACTTGGTAAACGAAAAAAAATCAATATTAAAAAAATTAAATACTAAATTTTTAGTTTTAAAAAAGTTAAAGCGTTAAATTTATGATATAAAAGTTATTTGATATGTTTCTCAAAATTAAATGTTCAGTTAAATTTTTGGTAATCTCTTGTAAAAGAGGAGATATGATTTTATAATTATTTTTAATTGAAAAAAATTAAAAAAAATAAATAATTGATTAAAAGAAATATATATAATTAATTCATTTAGATAATAATTTTTTTCTACTTAACACATTAAGTAGTTAAGAGCACCTTTTCATTGAAAATATTTCTTTAACTGTTATTTAAAAATATTTATCAACACATTGAAAATATTAATTTTACATGTTTTAAAAGTTTTTAAATTTAAATATTAAAAGTAGTAAAAAGGCGGAGGGTAAACAATAAAAATACTAGGAAAAGACCGGTCAACAGTTTTAGAATAACGTAGGCAATGGTGGCTGCCGTTTTTTTTTTTTTTTAATAGAACAAATAATTAATTAATTAAGTTGCCATAAATGTATTATTAAATAAACAAAGAAATTGGTTTTATGAGGGGTTTTTGTTTTAGCTAACAAGTAAGAAACAAACTTATATTCCCATTTCTCTTTTTCAATTATTTTCTTTTTTCTGTCTACAAAAGGGGCAAAGAGAGAGAAATTGAAAGTCGGATATGCTCAAACCAAACCACTGCGTTTCTCTCTCTTTCCTGTTGCAATGATTTTCGTCTCCCAAACCCAAACGTAACTCTTTCTCTTTTGTTTTAATTTTTCTTTAGGTTTTTTTCTTTTTTTTTAGAAAGAAAACTCATTTTTAAGGTCCAAGTATTTGGAAATTTTGCGTTGATTGCAAGAAATGAGCAAAGGGATTGTAAAGGAAGAAGGGCCGTCGTCGTCCGCTGTTGTTTCGTCGGAGAATCGTCCTATTGGTGGTCTGAGAGGTGTCCAATGGCGTATCAATCTCGGGATTTTACCTTTTTCTTCTTCTTCAATTGATGATCTTCGCAGGGTAACTGCTGATTGTCGCAGAAGGTGATCATTTCGTCTTTTTCCTTTTTCTTAAAACAAATTAACATCTGGATAAAATTGTAATTTTTGGTGTAATTTTGAGCTTCTTTTCTTGTACCGATTACCAAAATTTGATCTTTTTCTTATTCTATTTAAATCCATGATTGGTTTTTTTTTAATTTTTTTAAAAACGCATTTCAGCTTATTCTAGCTTAAATTTATCAAAAAATGATAACTTTGTGTCTCTGGATTTTCACAGGATTTTACTTTTATATTTCTCCTGTTCAGATTATTTGAAAGTTCTCTTTTTAATTAAAGCAATTATTTTTTTTCATTTTTTAAGAATTAAAAACTAACCGTTATGGCCACAAATCTCTAATCTCTAATTTTATGGTAATTTAGATATGCTGGGTTGAGAAGGCGGCTGCTAGTGGATCCACATGTTCCCAAGGACGGAGGAAGTAATTCCCCTAATCTTGTAATGGACAATCCACTCTCACAAAACCCAGGTAATTGTACCGTCTCTTCTTTCTTATGTTGCACCGCTTCCATATTACCACTTCTTTATTGGTTAAATACTTACATTTTTTATTCATCAACTTTTGTTTTAATTAGTACACCTAGGTATCTATCTTGATTAATGTGAAATTTATATGGACAGTGTTTATGAGTCCAATGGATGTTTATGTTGCACAAAAGGGAGACAAATCTCCTTTCCTCCTTTTCCACCCCATCTTGGTTGGTTGGTTTTGAAGCCAGGACTTCTAACTGATCTTTGTCAATGGAAAATTAGACTGTCGAATATTGTAGGAATATTCTTCTTTGAGCAAACTTACTATGGTTTCTATTTACGTCCCTTTTTTTTTAACTGTTTGTTGCTTGATCTGTGTTTAAACAATAGCTAATTCTTCATGCAGACAGCACCTGGGGTCGATTCTTTCGGAATGCTGAGTTGGAAAAAATGGTTGACCAGGATTTATCACGGTTATATCCAGAACATGGAAGCTACTTCCAGACTCCTGGATGCCAGGGAATGTTAAGACGCATATTGTTGCTGTGGTGCCTTAGACACCCAGAGTATGGTTATAGGCAAGGTATTTTCTTAGTCACTCTGCATGCATGTGTTATTGGCTTTCATGTTATCACATTATAGATTTTGAATCAGAAATGTGTAGCAACCATAATAATTGAATGTGTTTCAACAGTTTGAATCCTAATGTCTTTCATGGTAAGACCCAAGTGATGAAGCTGATAATGCAAAATTCATTCAAAATTATGCAATGACAACATTGGAATTTGGAACACAATATCCAGCATCAACTAACTTGTAATTTCTGCTACATTAATATGCTAGGCATCAAGCTGGCTCTTTATCTGTTTCTCTTTTCTGCTTATTTGTAGGAATGCATGAACTATTGGCTCCTCTGCTATACGTTCTTCATGTTGATGTTGAGCATCTTTCAGAAGTGCAAAGCCTTTATGAAGACCATTTCATTGACAAATTTGATGGATTGTCATTTGAAGAAAATGATGTTACATACAATTTTGATTTTAAGAAGTTTTTAGATTCCATGGAAGATGAGATTGGATCTCAAGGTAATTCAAAGAAAGTTAGGAGTCTTGATGAGCTTGGTCCTGAGATACAGACCATCGTGTTGCTCAGTGATGCTTACGGAGCTGAAGGTGAACTTGGAATTGTCTTGTCTGAGAAATTTATGGAACATGATGCCTACTGTATGTTTGATGCTTTGATGACTGGGGCACGTGGTTCAGTTGCTATGGCAGATTTTTTTGCTCCCTCTCCTTTAGCTGAGTCTCACAGTTGCATGCCTCCTGTCATTGAAGCCTCAGCTGCATTATATCATTTACTGTCAATTGTTGATTCATCTCTATATAGCCATCTTGTTGAGCTTGGTGTTGAACCACAGTATTTTGCACTTCGCTGGTTGCGGGTTTTATTTGGACGGGAGTTTTCACTTCAAGATCTCTTAGTTCTCTGGGATGAGATTTTCACAGCAGGTAATAGCCCCCTCGATAGAGAGTCTGAAGATGATGAGAGTTCCAGTTTCAAAATACTCAATTCACACCGTGGAGCATTAATCGCTGCTATGGCAGTCTCTATGATACTTTATCTGAGATCTTCCTTGCTTGCCACTGAAAATGCAACTTCTTGTCTTCAGAGACTCTTAAATTTTCCAGAGAGTATAAATCTGAACAAACTAATAGCAAAGGCAAAGTCACTGCAAATTCTTGCATTGGATTCTAACATCTCATCCTTGTCATCAACTTTTGCTGGGGCTTATAACCACAGCAAATCTGCAGCGAGCGGTCACAATCTTTTGTCTGATCCAGTTTCTCCAAAAACTCCTCTAAGCCTTGTGCCTGACAGCTATTGGGAAGAAAAATGGAGAGTACTGCATAAGGCAGAGGAACTAAGGCGTGATAGTTTAGGAAAAAAAACTCCAAGTGGGGAAAAGAGATGGTCAGAAAAACTAAAGCTGAGCCTATCTAGATCCAAGTCTGACCCTTCACCTGCAAGAGCAGAAAAATGCAAAAAGGGCAATAGATCATCCGTTAGGCGTAGTTTGCTTGATGATTTGTCACAGCAACTTGGGTTGGAGGAAGATGCTGAAAAGGGAGGCTGTTTTGATGGTTCTAATGCAGAGGATTGTCATTCTATAGAAGTTCAGGTGGAGGGACAAAACAGTACTAACAAGGAGTCCATTTGCACAGCTGAGGAGAGATGTGAGAGTGGAAGTGGAACTGTTGTCAGTGAAGAAAACTCCTTTGTTTTTTCTGGCCCTGCAAGTCCTGGTAGTGGTAGTAATGACCATGAAAATGACACAGAAAAAAGTAGTGTTGCTTCAAATTTATCCTTAGATGAAAATGATGATCACCAGCAAAGTAACCCAGAAGATTCACCTCTACCAGTTTCCCTTCTTCCTGAACATGACTCTCTAAATTCTCTGCATGAGAATGAATCTTTAGGGAAGACGGTCTCAGCTATGAAGGAGCAAAGGCATCATTCACGTAGATTCCAGTGGTTTTGGAAGTTTGGACGAAACAATGTCAGTGGGGAGACAACTGATAAAGGAGGAAGTACCCATGAGGATGCAAAATCTCCAAATCATGATATCAGGAGCAATACAGCTGATTCATCTACTTCTGGTGCTTCTTGTAATTCATCTTCCACCAGCAAAGGAGATGCTGTGGACCAGAATGTAATGGGCACGTTGAAGAATCTTGGGCAGTCTATGCTTGAACACATTCAGGTAATTTTCTGGTTTTTTGTTACTGTTTAGAGCTTCAAACTTTTGAAGGAAAATGTTCTATTGTTGAATAGAACAATCTAGTTTGGTCTATTTTTAATGCCTACCTGAGGAACATGTTTGGTAAATTAAGCTGTGTAAGTTCAGCGTCTAATTTTAGCAAGCTTTGACAAATTCTTAGAAGAGTGAATCTAATGAAAACATGAAGCTGAACTTTGAAGTTCAAATGAAGTTCCATTACATGTGAGGAAGTTTGTATAGAATTTGATGCGTAGTCTTTATGAAAATTGTAGATAGATGTTGTAGATCAGCCTTGTGTATGCATTATTAACCCAGAAACTGAGAATTCTTCTGGTATTTAGGGAGAATGATGCTGTTAAATGATGAGGTAAACTGGTGTTACTTGATCTTGACTAGGAATTACATCAAGCTTAACTAAAGATTGGTGGTTTGTATTTTATTAGTACTTTTCCGGATGCCTCCGGTTTCATGTCCCCGCTGGTATTCCTAATAGCATGCTTTTAGATGATCTGTTATAAACTTGCCTTTCTCCTACTTGAAGCTGTCTAGCAACTGTTGGAAATCTGTTTGCTTTCGAAGTTTGTTGTGAAATACATTTTGTGTAAATTTTATTTGATTTACCTCCATATATCTTTAAATCACCATTTTGTTGGCAGGTTCTGGAGTCAGTTTTCCAGCAAGATCGGGGTCAGGTGGGATCATTGGACAACTCTAAAAACATTCTAGTTGGCAAAGGACAAGTTACAGCCATGACAGCTCTCAAGGAGCTTCGGAAGATCAGCAACCTTTTATCAGAGATGTGAGATTTGTTCTAGTTATGAAATCTTTATATACTTTTGTAATTACCATTTTTTCAGTGCAAATAAAATGAAATTTTATTGGTTTCTTGGCTCTTTTATATTGTTGCATGATCCAAATCTTGTTGGTGTCTGAGCGATCAGGGACGTGAATATGCAGTTCTGTTATGATCTTATTGAATTTTTTAAAGAATAATGATGCCACAAGTGTAGCTGTCTTAAATCTGCAATTGTTGCTGCAAAGTTTTCTCCAAGCCTTTATAACAGAAAGGATTAATGTTACGAAATATCTAAATTATAGTAAAATATTTTATTTTACTGCAGTTGAAGGGCTATTCGTAAATTATCGAACCAAAAACTGCACAAGACATACGCATGCCCCCTGTTAATAAACAGACAGAAAGGGCTCTTGCAGAAAACTATTCAAAAGAGATGATTACCAAGAACCGTGCAATGACTGCGTGGATCTAACATGTATATGCTGATATAATTGCATAGGAGACACTGGAGTACCTGTTAAAATATCAGTTTCTACATATATATATATATATATTATTTTACATTTATTTCCAAGGAAAAGTTAAAAGAAAACAATTTTGCCTGCTACTGAGTAAGTTCAGAAGGCTCAATCATTCACTAAAGTACTGATCTACTCTATGTTGTGAAAGCCTGGAAGAAGGAATGTGATGAAGCCAAAAACAATCATCTGGATTTCCTTAACAATTCCCCACCAGTGATTACCACCATTTTCTAAACAAGGGTCTGCTGCATTCTCATTCTCAACCACCCGATTACCATCATCTGCTGGCCGGTTCTCATTCTCTTCTCCTCCTTGTCCCTCTGATCCAAGATACAAGATTAAATAAATAATGGGCATGTAGAATCACAATCAAATATTACGTAAAAAATTATTTTCAAACAGTCCTCATCTCAGCATATGCCAGAATGAACAATTGTGATACTACACAGCAAAATTATGGTTTGTGAGCAGGGAAGCGGTGCAAGGCTAGTGGCTACCCACACGTGTGGCTCCTGTTGCATGAACTTAACGACATAACTAAATTCAGCCATTAGTTGCTATATTGCATGCCTAACTAGGAAGTTTAATTAGGATTTAACTTTGTTGTTTATCATTCCTTTTATTATCCTGGTTTACTAGTAGTGAGGATTGTCTTGAAAATAGACTGGCTCTATAAAACATCAGATATTCATTTTCGGATTAAAGTTGAATTCTAACAAAATCTCTAAATATTGATTTGCCTTGAAAACTTATACTCTCAGTTTCTTCCCTTTTATCCAGTACACATCGAAGTAGCTCTTTCAAATTCAAAAGAACATAGCTTTCTGGGCTGATTCAGAATTCAATAAAGCAAACTAGCTTGCAATCACCAGTCACAACAATGGATAACTTGACGAACCTCAGATTAATTTTGGAAATTATCATTCAAGAGATAATACTAATCTGTTTATCATACAAAATTTCAAGAATTTATTATATATAATTTTTAGATAGTATATTTTATTGAAAAAATATGTATGAACAAATGCAAATAATGAAGTTTAATTCCTCATACCCTCCTTAAACACCAAAAATACACCATCCCCACCCCCTCCCCCTCGTCCAAAAAGAAAATGAATGAAAGGGCAGAACGGTTTCAGTTCACATAAAAATTAATAAAAAAATTTACCTGCCAAAGCAGCATTTTCATTGCTCTGCCTTCCAGCAGCAGGAACATTCTCTGCTCTGGCAGCAAGCACAGATGGACGAGGAGGCGCAGCTGCTCTCTGCATGCCTTGTGAAAGCCATCTTATCCATCTTATCAACGGTGTGAGAACTCCAGTTTGATACCTGCAGAAAACCAATGTATTAAGTCAGCTTCCACTGTTACACTGAAAAGTATCCAAAAAAAGGACAAAAGAAATCACATCAACTTTAAAATTTAGAATACCGAACAAAAACATTTGTCTGTGTCAATCTCAGTAAATTAAAACAAAGAAAAAAAATCAAATTCAAACCGGAAGTGAAAAGGAAAATAGAAAACGAACCACCTATCATTATAGTTTTCCCCTCATATTTGAAAAAGCTGCACCTATCCCATTAAACAGTATACGGAATTAGTGAGGCACAATTGGTGATTCAAATGACAGAAATGCCTTCCTCACCCACCCCCCAAAGAAACCTTCAGTCTTTTTTTTATAGCAAAAAGTCACACCTTCTCCAGCAAAAAGTCACTTCTCAAACCCTCACTAATGCCTAGGGACCCATCAAGCCACAGCAATCCAATCAGTCAAAGATGATCAAAAACAGGATTCTGGAACTTATACCTTAGCTTAGGTGAAAAGAGAGTAAACTAAAGGGAAACTGGGATCTAAGTTAGGGATTTCAAAGCATCATTGCATCTGACCATGATGCAAAATTTCCAAAATTCACTTTTGCCTTCAGTTTCATAAGTTGGGTTTCTTTGTAGCAGATGGCTAGAGCTTAAGGCATTGGGGTGAATTTTGCTCCACAGTATTTGTGATTTCTGTTTCCTAGAGGGATAAAAGATCAGGTATTCAGTTTTTAACAGAAAAGTATGAGAGAGAGACTTAAAGCAAGCTTCAACAGATGAAGATTTAGAAAGAGTCTGAAAACGAAGCATAACAAGAAAGAAGAAATGAAGGATGGAAAGTAGGCAGAGCAGTTTATATACTTGCGCATCTTCCAAAACTTGTGCAACCAAACAATCAACTAACAGAAAATGATGTAAGAACGTGCATCCAAATAATCTGGTAAATAGCAGCTCTGATGCACAGTACAAGTCTTAAAGTTAAAAGCATCAGAAGTTCAGATACTTACAAATAGAGAAGTGAAGCAAAGAACACAAGGAGTGCCAGCCTCTGTCTCGATCCATCTTGGTTGAACAAAAATATTACAGCTACTAGCTTAAGTATAAGCAACAAATCCAGCCGAAATGCAATTTGGAATCTTCTTACAACAACTTGTCTTTGAGGTCCTGCCTGCTGCTGTGGACGTTGAGGTTGTTGTGGTCCTTGCCCTTGCTCCTAAACTGCTGCCCGTCTCCATCGTACGACGACTATTAATGGAAAACAACAATTACTAACAAAACATAATCTTATAAATAATCCATTTTACCATAAAGATATGCATCATTGTTGCAATCCCCCTGACTCAAAAAGATCTAAGGTCAACTAAAATTTTCAGTTACTAGAATACTTTTGTATCATCGCACTCTAACTATAGCAATATCCTTCATGTATTCAGCTAATCTAACCAATTCCATCAATATTTTTAAAGTATATTAACAAATAATTTCCCGGCACAGCTAGATTAAAATGGAATTTTCTTCCTCTATCAATTTCAAACATCAATGACAAAGCCATCACTCAAAATAGGATACAGCTAGGGAAGTAAAAGGATTACTATACATTTTAGGACACCATAACTATTGAGATGACAAGCTTTGTGCTATCTTCAACCATATATGTTACACTTACACCTTTTAAGGAATAAAAAATGACAGGAACTTAGACTAGTCTGACTAAGCCAGACCTAAACATAGCAAAGACAAAAATAAAAGGTTAAAAAAGAACAATGATGACAGATAAAAACCCACATGATAAACTGATTAAGACGATCAACTAAGAGAACTTAGGTGCTTAATGAACTCCAACATTCACAAAGCATTTAGTAAAACTACCATGTGGTGCCACTTCATGAGGAACAGGTAACTTTATCACAATGACCATACAGTGGGATCCAATGTAGCGGTTGCAAAAAGTCAGCTGGTCAATTCAATCATAATTTTGCAAAAACTGAAATAATTGCAATTGAGAAAACAATAACTGAATTTTTTAGGTTAACAGGGATAATTTGAAAGACAAACATATTGTTTAAGGCCTAAACAGATCATTTGATGAAGAACTCACATGCCAAAATTTTATGAAACAATTTGTGTAATAAGAGAACAGCCAAATCTTGGCCTCACAGTTGTTAGGGTAAGGTCTACTGTCCCCCTCCTTGGACTTCCTCGAATGTGCCAAAGAAGAGAGTGAATTAGAGGGAAAAATGAATGTATTAAAAATTAAAATCACTTCAAAAATTAGGAAACAGTATACATCTAGGTAAAGCACGTTTCAGCAACTGTGGCCAAAAACATTAACTGAAACTACAACCAGAACACAGGTTCCTCAAGAAAGGGAGTAAAGGCAAAAACGAAGATGGAAAAGAAAATAATATAAAAGCAAGCACAGTGATAACATCAGGGAATTTGAATCAGCCAATTGAGATGGCTTTTCTTTCTTTGTAAATTAGCAAATCCCTGTCTTTCTACAATGGCAGAAAATCCCCTTGCTGGAAATTGAATGTATACCTAAATTTGTTTTTCTTAAAAAAAAAAAAAAAAACTTTGGAATAGACAATCAAACGAAATAAGGGAAGTAAAAAAAATATACAAAAATAAAATGAGGCTCCTAATTGTTTAGCAAACGAGGCAACTCAAAAGCTTTTGATCAGTGTGTAGTGGTGATGGAAAGGGAGGTAACAAGCAGGTTGTAGTGATGGGAAAAAGAAGGTTACCAGGTTGAAATTTGAAATCCAAAGCAGAAAGATGATATGAGATACAAATCCAAAAAGGACTAAAATATTTGGCTAAAGTGAATTGTTAAAGTAAAATATTATTTCTACACATCAATTAATTTGGCTGGCTTTTGCATGAATCTTTTAAAAATAACCAAGCAACATACCAATCATTACAAATTCTTTTTTCAAAGTCAACTGAATGAACAGAAGACCCCAATGTTGGTGCTAGAAATTACATCACTAAATAAAATTTTTGAGATATCACCTAGAAGTGCTCACCCCTAATCGAATTGGATGATAGGAGATTATCTACCTAAGGGTATCTTCATCTAAGAGAAGGTAGATGAACTACATAAATTTACAAAACCACAGATTTACTTACATAGGTATATTATAGGTTAGAGAAATGAGACTGTTAGATCGAAGCCCAGCAATATGCTCCATAAATGGTAGAACAGGGACAGCATAAATGCCTGCTCCGCGGTTCATCTGTTCCTGATTTTGTAACGAAGTTAAAACTGGGATAATTGCAGGATACATAACTGGAAACATCTGAAAATCACAATTTTGAAAAGCTGGGGAACTAGAGTATCCTGGAAGCTGCAACAAAAAAAGCCATATAGAAACTAAGAAAGAAGAAAAGAAAATTGCTGACACCAAACACAAGTGAAACAAGATAACATTACGGAACTCCACAAAGGAAATGTTTTCTCTTCTTCCAAAATACCAAATAGATTTAAAAAGAAAGTAAGTTTCCAACTGATTAATTAAAACTAATTTTTAGTAGTCACCAAATAGGACAGCACATGGAGCAAGATGCATTAATGTGTAGATTTAATTTTTTCGCATTTAAACTCTTTTATCGCTTGGCTGGAATTTATTTGGGGAAGAATGACTTTCTAAATTATGTTATGATGGAAAAATCCTTTGAACATAAAAGATCTAAATGCTTAAGAATCCCATTTAGTTACTAGATGGTTGCAACAGACAAAAGGATGCATATTTTCTGTTGAAAACCTTTTATCATTGCACATAAAAACGTGTAGGCAAAACCCCAGGTATCTCAAAATTGATCATAACTGGACACAAGCCCATTCGGAATCAACTAATGCCTGATACAAGTCAAGTACTAGTTTGTTCGCCTAGGACACATAAAAATGACTGCTTGATCCAAGTTTACTTTCCACTGTATTTTTCCCTACTATAGCAAAATTAAGGCTATTGCTAAAAATAAAAAATAAAAATAAAAAGTAAGATTTGTTGCTAATGGTCCAACAAATGCAGGAATGCATTTCCCTACAAGCATAGATAAGATGCATAGATTTTCAAGCAAAGAAGACAGAAAAATCTCTTTCTTTCCTATATTTAAAGTTATTACTGCTAAACATCTTTAAAAGTTTGTAGCAGGTTGAAATTTCAAGAAAAATACATATAAAGCATTCACTTGTTTTCAAAAGTTCACCACTATCAACATAATTTATTGACACATTAGAGCACAAAAGAGGTTTATAGCTGGTTTAGCTAAACAGTCCCCCTAGGGTATCCCCTCATGAGAAGTAAACTCCACTGTTATAAGTCCAATCACTTCTAGCTTTTGAAATTAAGCTCGGTATCTTGATGAGAAGAACTTGTAAAATCATTCGTTCTGCATCTATCAAACACACTCTCCACATTCTGATCTATGCACAACCACCCCACAAATACATAAACAAAAGCGTATGCTCATTTTCATCTTAGAAAAAGACAAGTAACTCCCGGGATAAAAAAGAACAAGTCCATTTCGACAAGCATAAATCTTTTAGTAATCAATAAGTTACTGACTCAATATCTATGGAAAAGAAATGCCAGATAAAAACATGATCTAATTTGGAAGATCTAAATATTCTCAGGAAAAATAAATAATAACCAAAGTCACATGGATGAAAAAATGCACATAACCCTATTATATGACATCATCAGCCAATAATTTCCCAAAAAGACAAAAAGTATAGCTAAAACTCAGATCTAAAAATTCCTACAAACTAGATAAAGTAAACCCATCATTGTATATCCAATATAATGCAAAACCCATTATTTATCTTGACTAAAATGGGGGCAAAAAAAGGAAGTTAAGCTAAGACATACCGAGTAAAATTCAACCCCAGACGACAGATAAATACCCCGAGAAGTAATTCAATGAAAATTTATTCTCAAATAATCTCAATCCTACAATTAAAAAAAGATGTAAAAAGTGCAGGGACTCAAATTAAAATGCTAGTGAATTGAAGGGGAAATAATTAAAAGAAAGAATGAGAATTGAAGAGGAAAACCAGGGATTTTTTTTCAGTGTCAGGGGAAGACTTTGGTTGTGAGGTAGATGGCATCGCTTCGGATTCTTCAGCCATTACACAGGGGAAATGGGATCCACTTCGATTGTTCTAAAATTCAAATAGTAATATTTTGGTGGAGCAATGGAGTTTTTTTTTTTTTTTTTTTTTTTTTTTTCTTCTTTGCAACCAGTTTGGATTTTTTGTGTTTGTTTATCAATAGTTTTTAAGCGATTAAATGCTCGTTTACGTGATTTTTAAAAATCTCAACTTTTTAATTTAACGTAGGATATAACGTTTTTAAATTGAATAAGACCTTCCTTGTCTTATACACGCAAAAAATAGCATGAATCATTATTCTACAACATAATAAACAGTAAAAGTAAGTCAAAAATTCTATCTTTTCCAACTTTTCTTCTCAAGCAAATTCTATCTTCTCAAAAATCAGCCTCTACCTCCGTTGATTTTGTCACCAATAACCACTGTTGGTCTTTATCTTTCACCAACAACACAACTTTTTCGTGAATAAATCCGGAATCTTTAGTTTAATCCCTCTTCTGCATTCTTCTCTCTAAATCCCCAAATTAGAACTCAACTACAATACGAAGAGCTTAAGAATCATGGAATTTCACCACCAGAATCCAGTGCTGTTCCCTGTTCATTATGTTACCGATCGATCAGCAACTCGTCCCTTTTTTTAATTCTGTCTTAAAACTCAAAAATTTTAAAAAAGAATCAAACCCAGAAAAAACTCTTGTTGATGAATTTTTGAATTCTCGAATCTTGCTGTTATGGTTGTTTCTGTGTATTGAAACCCTCTTGTTCGATCAATTACTCAATTAAGGCTAATTACTTATTGCTGATCTTATTAATGAATTCGCTTTGTTAATTGGCTAACAAATTTTTTTTCCTTAACCCAAAAAGTTTCTTAGAACAATTGTTTTAGTGTATATTTTTCCGCTCCTTCAAAAATTCAAAAATTTTGTTCAAATTTCTTGCTTTTCAATGGCTTCTAATTGTGAATTATTATTGTCACGCATATCTTGATTGTTCGAGGTTAATTATTGTACTTAATTTTGCTTTTTACTTTCGTCTTGATTGTCAATTGCTGTTGTGCTTAATTTTTATTTTCTATTGGAGTTAATGATTTTAATAGAAAATGTTAATAAAAAATTTAACGCAACTTAATTCTTATTTGAACAAATTTAAAAATATTATATCTTAAATTAAATTAAAATTAAAATTTTTAATTGAACAACCAAGTAA